GAGACTCTTCAGTAATGTAGCTGCCTGAACACTGCCCAGGGGACTCTTTGGCAGCACAGCTTTCCATGATTCATGCTGCACGTGGGACTCTTCAGTGCCTATGAGTCACTGAAGCTCCTGCAAATAACCCAAATAAACTCCCTGGTTCACCAAACTGGACTAGGATGGAATCTTTTCTTTGGTCTGTAGGTGCTCTCTCTACCTGGGGTGTACAGGAGTTTCTTTACATCGTCCCAGGAAAAGTCATGTGACAGATGGTGACTCTGAATCCACACTAACCACTGTTCCTTTCTGCGTGGGGACACTGATCTCCTCAGACAATTCAGATATCATCTCTCTGGCTCCCAAGCAGGAAAGTTGCAGTTTATCACTTTGAGGTAAGGCAGTAGCTGACCACTCTGATGAGATGCCATGTATACCTGCCACAGACCCTTGCCTGCCCCTGCTCTGTGAGGCAAGAGTGATGTCCTCTGTCCATAAATCAGGAGTCTGTGTATTTATACTCCAATCCTTTCTTCCAGCAGAGTCCTATACAATGTTTCCCATGGGAAGACCCAGTGAGCTGTCCTGCTGGACAGCTTGGAACCCTGCACTGACCTCCTTGGTAGTTTTGCAGGCCTGGCTACACATTTGAGGAGCTTTGAGAGACACAGCCCTGCCCTGGAGTTGCTAGACTTGTTGGTGGGGCCAGACATGAGTGTATTTCCAAAGCCCCCTCTAACTCAGGTGGGAAACCCTAGAGAACTAGGTCTCACAGAGCAGTTTTGTGGCATGTATCAGTTACTTTTCTTGTTGCCAAATTCCTGACAGAAGCAAATTAAGGGAAAGAAAGATCTGTCCCATGGTTTGAGGGTGTGCAGTCCATCATGGAGGGGAAGGCACAATGGCAAGAACTTGAGGCACATTGACTATAGGCACATTGTGTCTATAGTCAGGGAGCAGAGAGAGATGAATGCTGGAGCTTAGCTCTCTTCTTTTTCCCCATTTCATTCAGTCCTGTCTATGGGATGATGCCACTAACATTCAGGGTCGTAGGTCTTCCCTATTCAGTTAATCCTCTCTGAAATACCCTCACAAACATGCACAGAAGTGTGTCTCCTAGGGATTCCGAAGATGATGATGCAGGTTAACCATCAGCAGATGAAATTTCATTTGTAATAAAATACTGTGGAGAGCCTATGACACGCTGCCCAGGTAGACAGATGGTAGCTGTGCTTAGAGGTCAGGCCTACCGGGTCCACACAGTTCAGAATCCCCTCCCTGCACTGGGTGTTTGTTCAGTCAGGAGACTGGAATTCATCATGCAGCACAAGGTCCAAGTACTCCAAGGAGATCTCATCTTTCTTGTTTTCCTTTTAGCATCACTGAAGCCGTCCCCTCAGAGGGAAATGAATCTAGTCACAGCCCATCTGTGTTTACCACTGACCAGTAGAGCTCTCAACGAGTTCTCAGTGCACTCTGCAGATGACCAGCTGGAGCATGGCCCTGTGCTGTGGATGGCCCTGCACCGTGGAGCGGCTGAGGCCAGGGGAGCCCTGGGGACAGCAGAGGAAGGTAAACGTTTAGTGGTGGAATTCAGCCCCAGAGACACTGCAGCAGATGTTCCAGGAAGATGCAACATGACCCTGAAAGGAAGAAGGGGGAGTTTCTGGATGTCCCTGCTGGGCTTTCAGTTACCACACAGGACATACTGCTTGTGGGCCGGCTTCCCACAGGGAGGGAGCTTGTGGGGACCTTCCAGAGGACATGTATATGGCCATAGGTACCTTCCATAGAAGACACATGTGCTCACTGGTACCTTCCACAGAGGACATGTATTTGCTCTTGGGGCATCTGCATCCTGGGGCAGCCCCATGTGGCCTCAGAGGCGTCAACCTCTAAAATTTGCCTCTCCAAGATCCTATCCCACCCGAGAACTGAGATAGTGTCTCAGACCTAGCCTGGCCTCCTCCTCCTTTCTTAGTGGGGACTGATACCATGGTGGGCCTCAGATGTCCTGACACAGCTCGGCAGTGGAGGCTGACCATGCTACCCCTTCCGGGGTCATCTCCTCAGAAATCTTCTGGCCCTTCCCACGTGGATCCTGTGGCCGTATGGGACACTAGGTGCAGCTGTGTAAACTGAGCGTGGGAGGAAGTGAGTGAGCTCAAACTCCGCCTGGCCCACAGGAAGGAACATAGGAACTAATGGGTCAGGACATAGGGCAGTTCCAGCACCACACTGCACTCAGTGATGCTGCAGGGTTGAGGGTGCTGGAGAGTTAGCTATAGCAATCCATAATAAAGGACACATAGATGTCCCAAACACCATCCATGGGGGCTCTTGGGATAGTAAGGCAAGGCATGCCCTGCTAGCCCCATCCCACACTCCAGCCTGTCTGGTGAGCAGGAGGGATCCCAGCTGGATCTGGGGGACATCATACCAGGCCTGGGAAAAGCTATGGCCTGGGGCACCTCCACCTTGTTTTGGCTCTGGTGTGGACAGTTCCATTTCTCCATCAGGAGAGGTAAGTGGGAATTGCTGGTCAGGGATCTGCAGCTGATGGAGACCATGCTGGGGATGCCTTGCCTAGTGCCTGCTGCCTCTGCTGGGACAGTAGTTAACAGTAGCTCAAGGCTGTTGGTAGCTCTGAGAGGCTGTGGTGTAGGCTTCTCCATTTTCTAGGTGTCCCATGAGGGGGTTGCTGGCAGAAGTCTGCTGCACAGCTCCCCAGACACAAGGAGGAAGAGGCTCCTGAACCCAAGGAGACTCCAGAACCCAAGGAATTTACTACGCCCAGATCAGGATTTGTGAGATAAAGTCATCTATCTTGGCTGGATGCCTGTTCCTAGTACTTGTGCAGCTGAGGCACTATAGGCAGCTGGCTCTAGCATCATGACAGCCCTGGTCTCTGCAAGAGTCTCCCAGTGTCAGGTGTAGAACACATGTGCCTATCTTGGGCCTCACCCTCCCTGAATCTGAGTGTTTTTGAAGACCCAGTCCAGGCGTCAGCCTTCTTTCCAGGCTTGACAGGCCCAGGCATATTCCTGCAATCATCTTCAACCCCACACTGGGTCCAGGCAAAGACTGAAACACTTGAGACCACGTCTCTTCCTCAAGGTTTGGTCTGACATTCCCTAGATTCAGCTGGATGTATCCTGTGCCCCAGGCAGGGTAGAGTCTGGGTCTGGGAGCCAGCAGGGCATGGCCTTTGTCATCTATGACTGGTACTGTCTGTGGCCCTCAGAAGGTGGGTGGGAAACAAGCACCTCCATGGAGGAGGTCAGCTTCAAGAAGAAATGAACAGTTAAACCACAGGGAGTTGTGAGGAGCTTCAATACAAATGACTGAGAGAAGCCAGTCTGAGAGGTAACACACTGTGGTTCGAGCTCCACAATACTTGGGAAAAGCAGTACTACAGTGGCTGAAAGTCAGGGGTCACTGTGAACAGACGTGTACAGAGGACTCTCAAGGTAGGCCATGTTGACAGTGTCCAAACCCACAGGATGCTCTATGGACTCTGGTTAACCAGTCATGAGTCACTATTATACCATCACCCTGCATTTTACCAGTGCAAGGTATTTCTAATGGGGACTCAAGGGAGTTGGGGCACAAGGGGATCCTCTGTGATCTCTACACAGCTTCTAGAAGTATCCTAACTAAATAAAACAAAACAGAGCTGAAATACTGGAACACTGAAAGCAGGTGGACATTAGGGGCCAGAGATGGCTTAAGCAGCAAAAGGTCATTAAGATTATGGGGCAAAGATGCCAGTAAAACACTCAGGTCCTAGTGAGCCCTGATTTAAATACAGCCCTGCCTAAAGAAAAAGGGTACGAGGAGAAGGGAAAGGCTCACAGATCCAGAACCTGTAATGATAAGAACATGAAGCCCTCTCCCCATGGCTTACTAATAAATTTGAAAACAGCTGAAATGGATACATTTCCAAGAAAATGCTGACTGCTGAGGCTGCTCCGAGAAGGACGTCCCACAGGCACAGCCACTGCAAAGCTTTCAAAGTCCCTTATGCCCAGCATTGCCCAGATTTCCAAGAACAGGCTGCCTGGGTCTCTATGGACCTTTCAGAAAGAGGTTTGTCCTCGAGTGTGGGGCGGTATGCCCAGACAGGGAACCCACACCAGGCCCACATTAGTCTGGAAAACTACAGACAGGTCTCCTTCACTGACAACCATGCAAAATCTAAAACAAAACATTGGCAAATTAGCCCCAGCAATATATTAAAATACCCACAGCATGACCAAGCTAGGTTTATTCTAGGAATACAAAACTAGCTCAAGCAGAGCAGCAGTAATGTAATTCACTTCATTAACAGATGGGAGAGGAAAAAAACCAGTGACCCTTTCCCGACTGATGGGGAAAATGTCAGCCATGTTCAACATTCATTCATAACTGAAAATGGAAGTTCCCAAACACAAGGTGATCCTGGCCTTATGATGTAGGCCTATCATCCCATCTACTGGAGAGACTGAGGCAGGAGAAGTTCAGAACAGCTGAGCTACAGAATGAGTTTAAGCAAGCCTGGGCAACTTAGTGAGATCCTGACTCAAAAAGCAAAAAGAGGGCTAGGGGAGGTGGAAAAAGGATGATCACAAGTTTCAGGCCGGCCAGGGTTACATGGTGAGATAGTATCAATAAAGAAACAACAAACAACTCACTCCAAGTCTTGGTGGACATGTAAAAGGAAATTTCTAGAACTTAAATTTTAGAATTGGGTCCAAGAACACAGGGAGTATCTCCTAGGCCACTGTGTGTCTGACCAAGACCTGCATTGGTGTCCTGTGGGTAGGGCAACCAGACCACACCATGGGTCCATGAGTTGGACACAGTGAGGGCCCTGCAGGGGGAGAGGTGGAGTTGGTGAAGTCTCTCCCCATGGCCTTGCTGCTAACACAGGAGGGCAGAGCCCTGTGATGAAGGGATAGCTAGAAACTGTGAGGCAGGTTATTGTCATCTGTAGACATGAAGGGGACTCTGGGTAGTGGCACTTGGGCACAGCCTACCTGGAACAGGATCTGCAGCACCCCGTGGAGAATGCACATCCGGCGTCCAAGGAACAGGAAGAAGGGCACGAGGAGCTCCAAAAAGTGGTTGCTGAGTGTCTCGAAGCGGTGGAACCACCAGGGTGATCTGTGCAGATAGTAGGCCATTGGGTTGGGAACTGGCTGAGTCTGTGGGGACAGGAGGGGCTTTAGAGTCACCAATCTGGCTGATTCCAGTGGCAGTGCTGCCCTGGCTATGTAGAGGCCATCTGTTCTTCAGTCCTGTGCATGTGCAACTGGCCTGGCCAGTCAGACGGCTGGAGGACTTCTGTGGGCTGGTTGTTTTTTTGAAGCAAAATCAAGTTCTTTCTGTTTTAAACTCTCACCATCTACATGCAAAACAGTAAACTATAGGTGGAGACACATCTGTAAACACTTGTGACCAAATCAAGATTATAAGGGACCCAAGAACTGGCCTGTTGCCCCTGAACACTGGTGGAACTGTTGGCTGCAGTTCCTTGGGGCTCATGGCCCCATGACCTGCCATGGTCTGCTACCTAGTGCTCACAGTCCATTTCAGGCCTCCCATTCATGGCCAGGCATCATGGGCCCTGGGGTCTTTTGGTCTGCTTGGGGGCTCCTGTAGGATCATGCAGGACTGCTTCATAGGAAAGGGGCTTGAGAGGGATGAGGGCCACTAGGGCAGTAGTAGTAGCCCTGAACAAACAGAGGCAGGAAGTAAAGGGAGGCAGAGAAGGAGCTGGAATGATGCCTGGAGAACAGTGTAGCACTTCACTTTCTCTTAGGCATAGTTCTCTTCAGATCTGACCTTGGCCATAGGGCGCTTGAGGAGCCCACTCATCAGCTCATCCTGTCATGAGTGTGGAGGCCCTGCCACAGTGACACCTCCCCCAAGCTGCTACATGTGCCCCTCCTACAGGACTCCTGCTACTTGTCTCATCCACATGAGCATAAGAAAAATAAACAGCTCAGCAGGCCAGGACAGAAGCCAAGCTTTCCATTTAATGATGATGCAAGGGAGGCACAGGCAGCCGTCTACCTAGCTCTGTGGGGGGCATCATGCAGAGGGTATGCTCCCCTCTTTTAATGGTTCTCCAACAGAAATAAGCAACTAGTCTGAGCAGAGAAACTCAGCAGCCCTGTGCCAGGAGACAGAAGTCCTTGTATCAGCTCTGTCTGCCTAACCCCACATTCCCCTCAGCTGTTGCTCCTTCACTTTCTCCCAGATACATCGCTTCAATAGGACCAAAGAACAAAACCCACACAGCTCGCCTGTGTTAGGCATTGGGTTAATCCAGGCTGCCATCACCCTGGGCCATATCCCAGTGCAGCCCTTGTCACCATCTCCTGTTGGGACAGATTCTGAGAATTAGTGTCTAACTCTATATCCCCTGGGCAAAGGGGATTCTACTCTGACCTGAGGACTCTGAGTCCTACCTAGAAATGACATTTGCAGAGGAGTTGTTTAAGGATGGAACAGGAAGGCACTCCACCTATCAATGGTGTTGCAGCCTCTGGACCCCTGAAACTCCCAGCTGTCCCAGCAAAGAAAAGGAAGCAGAAAATTGGGGGAGACTACTTGATGGGGACCTACATGCTGGCAAAGGGGTGCAGGATTAGGAAAGATATAACCCCAGCTCAGAAACAGTGCCTGCAAAGTCACTGTGCTTCAGATGCTGGTGTCCATCAGCTCAGAGGACAACACATCATGAAGAATGAAACACCAAGACTCAGACACTCACCTCAGCCTAGCAAGGGGTCTGCACAAGCTCAGTGTGGTAGGTGCTGGGGATGCCCAGAAAGCCTGAGTGCTACAAGGAAAAGGGCCCCTCAGTACTCATGGGCTTTCCTATAACCATGAAAAACAAAAACAAAAACAAAAACAAAAACAGAAAACAAGGGAAAGAGGGTGAGTAGGTTTTCTGAGCTCTGCATCTCTGCTGAAGGACTCTGGAACAGGCATCCCTGATCTGTGGACCAGGACCTGACTTTATAGCAGGGCCTGTTCGGTACACTGGCTCTTACCTGAAGCTTGCTAGAAGGTGGCACATGTGTACCCATGTGTACACCTTAAACTCTAAGTTCTTACTCTAGTTTTGGGGTGATCAGCCTCTTCTCTCACCCCTAAATACTGCTTAGAGCTGGAAAATGTGGAAGTAATGGTGCCAAGCTCCCTCTGGAATGAGAGAGGTGACTTACACTGAAGAAAGGCCTCAGGACAAACAGGAGCACAGCAGACCAGCAGCCTATGTTTCATGGTAATTGGCTCTTGGAGACTGAGGCCCAACATGGTGGCCACTTCTAGGCAGGGTGGGAAGCCAGAAAGCTGTGCCACGTGTGCCTTCACAGTGCTAAGCACCAGCTACTGGCTGCTGCTTCCCATACCTCCAGGTGACTGGAGATGGAGAGAAGGAAATATGAGTGGTAAAGGCGGTCATTTAAAGATGGTGACTGGGATGACCAGAGTACTGAACTGACAATGCAATGTGGTTTTCTCTGTGGTACAGGTTGTCCTAGTTTGTGGCAAGCAGGTGTCCCTCTAGGAGTATACCCAATGGATTGCCCAAAAGAGTCTGTGTCCCCTCTCCTCAAGTCCCAGCTTATCACTGGACTTATCTTCACTAAGAGGACACAGGAAAGAGACTTCCCAGCACAGCCTTATGAAGCCAGGTTCATAAGAAAGGTCCCTTTGAGAGAGCCACCCTGTTGTGATCTTCTTCCACTATGAAGAAAGTCAACTCCATGTGAAAGTCACTCCACTGTGTAGGAGGCCACATGGCACAGCAGTGATGTTCCTGAGGGAAGGCAGAACCCCTGGCATGCCTGATGTGGGTGGTCCTACCTAACACAGCATGAAGCAGAACCTCCTGGCAGAACATGAGGGATGCTAACTATGGTTCAGGAGATGCAGAATATTAAGCTTGAATCTAGATTTAGAACAGAGTTCTATGGTTACAGCATAGGACCTCTGCAACCTAATATATGGAAATATAGAGGTCTGGGGCTGGAGAGATGGCTCAGTGGTTAAGAGCACTGACTGCTCTTGCAGGGGACCTGCATTCGATTCCCAGCACCCACATGGCAGCTATGAACTGTCTGTAACTCCAGTTCCAAGGGAATCCAGAGCTCTCTTCTGACCTCCGTGGCACTGCATGGCACAGGTGCACTCACATACACGCAGGCAATACACACATACACATAAAATAAAAATAATAAAAATATTTTTAAAATATAGAGGTCTAGACAAAGCAAGCACATGACAACTCAAAAGCTTGCATGGCTGTAACAGATTTGTGATTCTACTTTTGGTTTTCTACACAAGAAACTTCTTTTCCCCCTTTTTGAGACAAGGTCTCCCTGTCCCAGCTGGCTTGGAACTCGCTATGTAGACCAGGCTGGCCTCAATCTCACAGAGATTCACCTGCCTCTGCCTCCTGAATGGTGAGATTAAAGGCATGTGCCACCATACCCAACTCTGGCATGCATTTTTTAATTTTTTGTCTTTTTGAGACAGGGTCTCCCTGGAACTCGATATGTAGACCAGGTTGGCCTTGAACTCACAAAGATCTGCCTGCCTCTGCCTCCCAAGTGCTGGGATTAAAGGTGTGTGCTACCACGCCCGGCCTAGGCATGTATTTTTTAAAAGCTATCACTAGTCTAAAAGCTGGTATTACTGGAACTTTGGATTGTGACTCCACATTTTTTTTTCTATATAACTTGAGACAAACACATTTTTAAAAAATGTTAGCTCAGGTTTTTGGACTCACAATGTATAAAGACATAGTTCTGTGATATCAACAACTGAAGGGAGCAGGTAGAGAGGTGTATGGGAGCAGAGCGCTCATGTGCTATTGAGGAAGAGCTGGTATAAATCGCTTCAGGATACTCAGCATCATTTCCATAGCAACAGTAAAGAGCTACAGAAATTACACAAAATGTAATGAAGAAGTGACTTATACTCCCAGCACTTGGGAGGCAGAGGCAGGTGGATCTCTGTGAGTTCAAGGCCAGCCTGGTATACATAGTGAGTTCTAGGACAGCTGGGGCTACAGGGAGACCCTGTCTCAAAAAGACCAGCACTCGGGAGGCAGAGGCAGGCGGATCTTTGTGAGTTCAAGGCCAGCCTGGTCTACATAGTGAGTTCTAGGACAGCTGGGGCTACAGGGAGACCCTGTCTCAAAAAGACCAAAAAAAATTTTTTTTTTTGTATGTACGAGTGTATTGCCTGCATATGTTATTCACCCGTGTTGTGCAGTGTCTGCAGAGGTCAGAGGAAGGCGTTGGATCCCCTGGAACTGGAGTTATGAACAGCTGTTAGCTGCCATGTAGGTGCTGGGAATTGAACCCAGGTCCTCTGCAAGAGCAGTCAGTGCTGTTAACTGCTGAGCCATTTCTCCAGCCCTCTTTCAGCATTTTTAAAATTAGTATTACTTGTGTAGTGTCGCATGCCTTTAATCCCAGCACTTGGGAGGCAGAGGCAGGTGGGTCTCTGAGTTCAAGGCCAGCCTGGTCTACATAGTGAGTTCCAGGACATCTGGGGCTACAGGGAAACCCTATCTCAAAAAGACCAAAACAAAACAAAACAACAACAACAACAACAACAAAAAACCCCAAAAAACCCAAAATAAAATTAGTATTACTTGAAGCTAACCTGATATGGTCACTCATTCATTATGTCTTTATATA